TAAGGTTGGACAAGCTGAACGAATAGGCGCAGCAGATTTTGGCGAGCAGTGAGTTTTGGTCGTGCGGGCTTTGGCGGGCGACACTCTTTAGCGGGTCGAGCTTTGGCGGGCGGCATATCCAAAATCTCAATGCAACCCGCCATATTTTGGCGGGTGCGCGGACCGGCCCGGCGGGCCACGGTCCGTTTTATCACCCATACTTAAAACTATACATATTGAAAATCGATACATATTTATAGGTTTTTATACGAAAACAAAGCCAATAAACTAGTTGTTTATATACGTCAGTACACATGCGAATGCACAGGTAACACACCAGTACCGTGTGAACGCACAAGTAACAAACGTGTATAATACACCAGTACTCGTGTGAGCGCACGAGTAACACATCAATATTATATGAACGCACGGGTAATCATACTAAAATTCGTGTGAACACATGGATTATTATGTTTTTTTGTAAAATTAAAGAAAATAAAAGTAAATATATTTAAAATCATATATGAATCCAAACACGGAATATATATTTTTTAATTATTTTTCATTATTAATATTTTTATTTTAAAATTGTTTTTAATTTAATATATGAAAAGTTAAAATATATATTATCGATGTAAAACAATTTGGTAAAACGATTTTATTTTTCTTTTAAATTTTTTTTTTTTAAATAATAAACTCTTTTAGTAAAACAATTTTGTTTTTTTAAGTATTATTTTTTTTAATAAAAATTTTAAACTTTTTTGGTAAAAAAATTTTGTTTTTCTTATTTACATTTTAAAAATAAAATTTGTATACCACTCCAATACTCTCGTGCGAATGCCACATATTCCACTAGTAATTATTATGATAAGGCTTCAAAAAAATTCACTAAATAAATAGCTGATTATAAACACAAAGCGGCAATATATTTCAACAGTGGCGAGGAAGGACATATTAGTACTCAATGTCAGAAACCGAAGCAAGCTTAGACGAGTGGGAAGGTGTTTGCTTTAGGTGGGACTCAAACATCCAGTGGGGACCGTTTGATCAGAGGTATATATTTTATTAATAGTACTCCTTTAATTACTATTATTGATACTAGTGTTACACATTATTCTATTACTGCTGACTGTGTGAAAAAGTTGGGTCTTGTGTTATCTTATATTAATGGAGAAATGGTTATCGATACTCCAGCTAAGGTATTGGTGACTACTTCTCTTGTATGCTCGAAGTGTCCTTTATGAATCTTCGATAGAGATTTTATTGTAGATCTAGTTTGTTTACCCTTGAGCGGTCTGGACGTGATTCTAGGCATGAACTGATTGGAATATAATTACATTCATATTAACCGTTACAACAAATATGTGTGGTTTTCTACTCTTGATAAGGAGGAGGAGGAAGCTATATTCTTATCTGCTAGACAACTGAATGAGTTGATGCAGGATGAAGCTTAGGTGTTTTCGTTAATGGTGTCTTTATCCATTGAGAATCAGTCTGCAATTGATGAGTTGCAGGTAGTATGCGATTTTTCTGAAGTTTTTCCAAATGATATTCCAGATGTGCCGATAGAAAGAGAAGTGAAAATTTCTATTGATCTTGTACCTGGTACCATACCCGTTTCTATGGAACCATACAAGATGTCAGCATCTGAATTATCAGAGTTGAAGAAGTAATTAGAAGAATTACATGAAAAGAAATTTGTGAGGCCCAGTGTATCACCTTGGGGAGCTCCGGTGTTGCTGGTGAAGAAGAAAGACGGTAGTATGAGACTGTGCATTGATTACCGATAGTTGAATAAAGTGACAATCAGTATCCACTTCCGATAATAAATGACTTGATGGATCAATTGGTGGGAGCGCGTGTGTTTAGCAAGATTGATTTGAGATCGGGTTATCATCAAATTCGAGTAAAGGATGAGGACATTCAGAAGATAGCTTTTAGAACTAGGTATGGATATTACGAGTATCTGGTAATGTCGTTCGGTGTTACTAATGTGTCGGGAGTGTTTATGGAGTATATGAATCGTATCTTTCTCACTTACTTGGATCGGTTTGTAGTGGCATTCATTGACGATATTTTGGTCTATTCCAAATCAAAAGAGGTACATGCTGAGCATTTGCGAATTATGTTGCAAGTGTTAAAAAAGAAGAAGTTATATGCAAAGTTGTCAAAATATGAATTTTGGTTAGAGAAGGTTAGTTTCCTTGGTCACGTTATTCCAGGTGATGAAATTATTGTAGATCTGTCCAAGGTAGATGCAATGTTGCAGTGGGAAGCTCCAAAGTCAGTTACAAAGATTATAAGCTTTTTAGACTTGGAGGGTTATTACAGGAGGTTTATCGAGGATTTTTTTCCTCCAAATTTGTACATTTGCTAACTCAACTGACTTGTAAAGGTAGTGCGTTTGTGTGGGACATCCAATGTGAAGAAAGTTTTACCGAGCTAAAGAAGAAATTGACGACGATTCTGATTTTGATATTATCTAATCCTGAAGAATTGTTTGTTGTGTATTATGATGCTTCTAAATTGGGTTTAGATGGTGTGCTCATGCAGAATGATAAAGTGGTAGCTTGTGCGTTGAGGCAATTGAGAATTCATGAAAGGAATTACCCTACTCATGATCTAGAAGTAGCTACAGTGGTGTTTGTACTAAAGATTTGGAGACATTACCTGTATGGCTCCAAATTTGAAGTGTTTAGTAATCATAAGAGCTTGCGGTATTTATTTCTTAATAAAAATTATAAACTTTTTTGGTAAAACAATTTTGTTTTTCTTATTTACATTTTAAAAACAAAATATGTGTACCACTCCAGTACTCGTGCGAACAACCACATATTCCACTAATAATTATTATGATAAGGATTCAAAAAAATTCACTAAATCATTTATATTTGAATTAAATAGATGTAATATAATATTGAGTTATTATAGTTTAAATTAAACAATATAAGTAACAGAAGATATATTTGTATCCAACAACTATTTATTTTTAAAGTAATCGAATAAACTAGGGGTGGCAAACGAGCATGTCCGCCCCGTTTAAACCCGCTCCGCAAAAGGCTGCAAATAAATGGAGCTGAGGCGGGACGGGCATATTTGAGAATGCGGGCCTAAAACCTAGCCCCGCCCCACAAAAAAATGAGGGCAGGATAGAGAAAGCATGTGGGCATTGCACCTTTTAAGCCTAAAAACACAAAAATTTATGAAAATACACATGCCCGCAAAAGGCCGCGTAGAAAACAGGACGGGGCGGGCCAAACACATTAGAGGGTGATGGCCTAAATCTTTGGCACTCCCCGCACTAAAGTGCGGGCAAAACAGACATGCCCAACGGGCGGGACCCGTTTTACCACCCCTAGAATAAACTAATTATAATGATAAATGATCATCATTTTGTTTTGAACATGTGCACTAAATTATTGAAATTAAATTTTACAAATTTATTTTAATCAAAGTTAATTTTGTGTTCTATTTTTTTATTTCATATTCATTCAGTATTAATAATAAATATGTTTTCCATATTTTTTTTATAATTAACCAAGATAAAAAAAAATTCTTCAATTTTTTAGAGTTACGTTTTTGTTCCGATCGAAAATCAAATATGGGTGCAGTTAGAGAACCTGTGATCTTAAACGGTGGATCTAATCTCACTTATGATGGCGGGATGAACCGACATGATTAGTACTTTAACGCTCAAATAGTTCATGTAATTATGGAGTGTGCCTAAGAGGGGATGAATTAGGTACTTTAAAAATTTCTGGTATTATAGAAGAATGATTCTTTATTTTTTGGTTTATGTAATGTGATGAAAGCTCTAAAGTGCATAAAGATAAAGAACACATTAGGATTATACTAGTTTCTCTCACCGTCCGAGAGTACGTCTAGTTCTCTTACAACATGTAAGAAATTTCAATAATGTTAGAACTTTATACAAACCTAAACTAGACTTCTAGACACAAGCTTTTAACTAATCACTAAGGAAAAACACCTTATGATCAACCAAGTTGAAGTGAGAATAATACTCTCTAAATTAACTCTCTTGCTTCCAACAATCATTGACAACAAGATATTACAAAACTAAATTTGGAAATATTTATTAATAAGATTGAAGTTTAATGAATAAATATCAATTACTAGGATTGATCTTTCCTTTCAAGTAAGCAATTCACAATGATATACAAGGGCTCAAATGTTTATAATGATGCTGCAATTTTTTTGTATTGATATGAAAAAGTATGTAGAAAAATTTCAATGAAGGTTTGTATGTCAAGACACTTGTTTGAAAATGCAGAGAGTAATTTATTTGAATTGCAATGAAAGAGTTGAAGAAATACATTCTGATATATGCAATATTTATATCACTATTACACCATTTTAGAATAGTGCAAAATGATCAAAGAATGAAATGCTTGAAGGTGTAAAATTTAAAAACGTTTGAATCTGTTTTTGCTGGAAAAAATGTCACTGTTTCAGTGGTAACAAATTACCTGAAAGGGTTTAACCGATCATGCCTGAAGCATTACTAAAAAAATTTCAAAATATCGTGTGTGTAACCGGTTACCAGAATTGTTGTAACAGGTTACACCTCTCTTTTACATAAAAATAATGGCATGGTTTCGTGTATGTAATCAGTTACTAGAAATGGTGTAACCGGTTACACCTGCTTTTAATTTGAAAAAAAAAGACTTTAGGAAATGAGTTGAAACTAGTGGCAAGCAATTTTAAAATGGATAATGCATGTACATGAATATGTTAAGTAATTTGAGCACTTAAATATTAGCATGGTAGAATTACGTGCTTGTACCTTAAAAGATATGATCAACCATAAACATCCAAACTAGTCTTCATAAATTGAATGAAATTTGATAATTGATGCTTTAGTTTTGACTGGAGGCTTTTTCTATGATTATTTGCTTTGAAACTTGTCTTCATCAAAATTAATAGTTGGAGATACTTGACTTCACATTCTCCCCCTTTTTAATGATGACAACTCTTTTAAAGTTTGATAGCATTTGCTCCCCCTAACAAAGATAACTCCCACTTGATCCTTGATTGAAAGAATCTGACATTTTATCGCTTGTTGCAAAATGTTAGAGAAAGGCATACAAATATACATAACATCTAGCATCTTCTCCCCCTTTGTCATTAGAAAAAAGAGTTGAAATATTATGAAAATATAAGATGCATAACACAAAGCTTTGGATAAATACATAACATAAAATATGACATAACGTGATATTACAAACCAAAGCATATTGTCTTAAACAGTAAAGAAGTATTAAACATAATGGAAGTCATAGTCTAGATTTTAAACAACAAAACATAATGGGAATGAAATATAAACAACATAAACTCAAAATATAATAACAACAAAGAACAACTTCAAATATTTAGTCACTTTCATCCATCTCCCAATCTTCACTTCCCTCCTCTTCACTTTCCTCCTCTTTATTTTCCTCCTCTACACTTTCCTCTTGGTGTTGGTTTTGGTTTTTGAGGGTGGCCATATCAAGATGGAGTTCAGAAGATAGACGAGTATACATGGCATATAAATTTTTGTAGATGACTTCATTTGAGTATCCTCCTTCGAGTGCGGGAGGGGGACATAAATAGAAGGATCATCAATATGTTTGTAAATACCATATGCATCTTTGAAAATTATCATAGTTTACCCGACTTCCCCAATATTAACTTCACATACTTTTTCACTTATCTTCTTCATTGGTTCCTCTTTCAAGTCAACTCCACAATATTCCATAATCCTTGTGATCAATCTTGCATAAGGTAGTCCATCACCCAAACCTCTTAGATGTTGCATATGATGCATTATGACATATTCCCATTTAACCTTCAACCATTTCTTAATCGCATAAATAAGTTTCATCTCAGAATCACCAACTTAAGAGTGATTGGAGTTTTTAGGTAAGAGGATATATGCTATGAAGTAGTGAAGCATCCTATCACTAACCGATAGGTCCTTACCGGACAAAATCAACCAGTTTGAGGAAGAGTTACGAGCTCTCTTGTTCATAATTTCCTGCTCAGTCAAATGACTAATGCTAAAGTAGTAACTAAGTTTTCTATAACCAGCCCATTAAGGAGTAAAACTATGTGACATCCTCTCACCCTCATATGGAATATCTAATATTTTTCCATAATCTTCCAAGGATAAAACAATATCTTTTCCCTTAACTTATGAAGTAAAAATATAGCCAATAGAAATATTCAAGTTTGCATAAAAATCTCTAACTAGGTCAGGATAATAGGTTCTTGAGTCAGTAATCAAACTATCCAACTTCTGATGATGAAGTAAGGCTGGACAATCAAAGCTTAAAGAGGGAACGATAGCAAGATTACCATATTTGGGTGGAGTTAGAGAGCGATTCCTGAAGGAGAAGAGCAATCTTGTCTGCTTGAGGGTTGGTTTCACTGTTTCAAAATCAGAAGACTCTGAAGCTTGAACATAAGCACTTTTCCCAATTTTTGCTTTGCCTATCTCTCTCTTTGTGGGTGCCATTGATGGAGCTTGAAAATTTGGAGAAGTTAGGTTTGAAGAGGATTTTTGGAATAACTTTATTGATGTTGTTGTGTAAAAGTGCTTTTTGGAATAAATTATGAGGTTGTGAAAAAGAAAAAGTAATTTATAGAAGTTTTAATCAGTGGAGATTTAATTGGATTATGTTGGTATTGAGTGTAGTATGAATGGGTACTAAAGGATAGAGTTAATGACTTGATTTTCCAAGTAAATAGAAGGTGGTCGGTGGAAGAGTAGGTGGAAGAGTGAGATGAATGTTGACCAAAATGTAAAAGACATTAAAAGTATAATAAAAAAACAAAATTAATTTTGGTTCAGTGGTAACCGTTACAAGGATATCTGTAACCGATTACGAGCACACGTAATAGTTAAAAACAAGCCCATAAATTGAATTTTTTGAATTGGTAACCAATTACACCAATTATTGTAACTAGTTACATGCAGAATTTTTTTGCCAAATACAAAAAAGTAGCAACGCACAAGATTCATGGGAAAATTTAATAGAATAAAAACACATAGAGGACATGCATAGGCATCATAAAAGCTTATAATATAATAAAAAACATACAATAGGAAGATTTCACAATTGAAATTGTGAAAACATGAAAGATGAAGTATGATAACATGTACCTTGTTTGATGAAAAAAGAGTATCGTCATTAAATTATGATTGACAATAAGTCTCGGAATAGTCATCATACGTCATGCTCATCCAATATGTCTATTTCTAAAGTATCCCACCTTCGAGGGACGTGACTGTTTTATTCGTAGGGCAACAAGTGTGGGTTAACCCTAGAGGTGCAAGTGTGTGAAGTGTTTGTTTTCATACATTTTTGTCTTTGAATTAGGGGTTTCTACTTGTTGATTTTATGTCTTGTCATATAAATCCTAATTACTAACATTTATATTTGAAAGCGATAAATTGCGAAAATGTAAAATTCTACGCTATTACATCATTTGGAGATGCAGATACAATTTACGAATGGGGAGTAAAAGAAATTAAGTCTAATTACTATTACAACCATATTGAATACGAACAAATAATGTACAAGAATGTAAGATGATATACAAAGAAAAGGAAATTGTTTTTGTTTAAGTTTTTATGATAAGTTTTTATGAAAAGGGGTTAACCTAATTAAACTAAAAAATGAAAATAATTTAATTAGTCTAAGTTAACTTAAGAAAACTAAACCTAATTTAATTAAGAAAAGAAAATAGATTAATTAAGAAACAATTTTTTTTAGGATTTTTTACGAAAGGTTTTAACCTAATTAATTAAACTAAAATCAAAAAGGTTAACCAACTAAATTCCTAAGTTCTAGATTAATTCAATTAAGAAAGAAAATTAAAATAAATTTAAGTTTAATACTAATTTAAAGAAAATTTTGTTAAAGAAATGTTTTTTTTTTAATTTTTTTGTCTAAAAGAAATAAAATAAATAAAAGTATACTAAATATCTAAATAAAAGTATAAAATATTTTTGGTGTTTTTTGTGATTAATAAAAATAATAATAATAATAATAATAATAATAATAATAATAATAATAATAATAATAATAATAATAATAATAATAATAATAATAATAAAAATAAAGATAAAGAAAAAAAATAAAATAAAATAAAAAATAAAATCAAGTCAGAGGGTGTGAAAATGAAGAGGGATAGTTTATTAGTAAAACAGTTTTTTTTGTTAGGTTAGGCCTAAATTTTTTTTTTGTGTAGTCAGAAAATAAAAACAGAAAAAATAGTGTAAACGGCCTGTGTGGTAAAAGTGAAATGAGGGGTGCTATGAAGCAAAAACCATCCAGGCCCAAAGCAAAGATCCAGCGTCTGTTTGGATCCAGTGGGGGAGGCTGGCAAGGGAGTATCATGGATGGCAGCATGGGATGTGTTGGATTGGTGTTGATGAGGATCCAATGGCTAGAGATGAGAGGCGTATCATACGCGTGTGTGGCATGCGTGTATTGAATCTGTAAAAATAAAACAAGAAAAGGCAAAAGAGTACCACTGGGGCTCGAACCCAGGTCCCTATAGTTCTAAGCCTTACGCGTGCGCTCTCTACCACTGGGGTGGCTATACATCCAGTGTTATAAACAAAACCATAAATATATATTTGAAACATGTTCCTGAAGATGACTTCATCTTCTTCCCCGCGCCAACAATTTTGAAAACTTGAAGTGAGAATCGTGTATGGAGTTTGAGCCACCTTTGAGGTGTCCTATTGATCTGTTTAGCTTGCCTAGACCTCCCTGAGTGCGTTGCAACCTTTAATTTACTTTGAAAGTCCCTGAATCTTCCTACTCAAGTCAAACTGCAAGCTTGATTTTTGAAAATGATAGATGATGAAGATGGAATTACAGTTAAGAAGCAGGTGTTGGAATGGCTTGTATATGAGGTATATTAAGTGTTTGGATGATTAGAAATGGAAACGCACGAGTAGATTTTGATTTGGTGGTTTGAAGCTCAAAAATGTCAATTTATGGCCAATTTTGTGTTGCAGAATGCTTGGGAAGTTTTAGGGTGCTTAAGCTCGTGTCTTTGCTTGCAATAGACTTGTATATTTGTATAGAAAATGTTATAGATGTTTTTGCACAAGGGATTTCTGAGTTGTAGGGTTTTGGCTAGGTGGCTTGTTTTTGAAGAAAAGTGGAAAACAAGTTTCAATATGTTGTAACTTTAATCATAGAGTTGTTAATTACTTTAAACATAATGCTTCTAACTTTATAGCTGGAGTGTAATCAGAATAAACAAGTTAGGAGCTCAATGCATTGACTTTGTGCATAAAGCTTACTTTACAAGAATGGAATGGTGACTTTCTTCCAAATATGGAAAATTGCTTTGGATAATGGCTTAATCACTTGGACCATACCTCAATCAATTGTGTAAACAATTAATTATGGAGTGATTTACAAGTTAGAAGCCTGCAAAACAAGATTGTGCAACATAGGCTTGAGATTTGAATTCTTGTTCATCACAAAATGACCTATAATTCAAGTTTGAAACCCTAACTCCATCTCTTCGATTCTCCTAGCTAAAAAATGATCTCATTGAGTTCTTGGACATTTTGAAAATCTTGGAACATTACCTACATCTTTCATGTTGGCCATTTTGACAAAATCCTCTTGGAGCTTGGTGAAAATTGACCAAGAAGTTAGGTCAAAAATCTGCCTAAACTAGGTCAAATTTTCACTGTGTTTAAGAAAAAGTGCATGACTTTGTGGATCCATAACTCAAAATCCAAGCATTTATAGGACTTAATCAGTAAATAAAATTTGTATATCTCATCAATATCTACAACTTTCATGTTGGAGGTTTTATTTGAATCATCTTGCATCTTGGTGATAAGTTGACATGAAGTCATGAAAAAATAAGACTTAAAACACCTAGAAAATTTTCTAAGTCTTGAAAAGTTTGACTTTTCAAAATGACTTTTGACTTTCTTGATTTCTTGATGATCAAGTTTCATATTTTTGAATGTCTTGATGAAATGTGGTCTTTGAAACTCAATTTTGATCAAAAAGTCAAAGTTTGACTTTTGGTGTATCAGTTAACTTTTCATCAGTTAACTGAATTTTAACTATGAATCAATTGATCTCGAGAAATGTTTTGAGTCATGAAATTAGGCCAAAATTATTTACTTGAATCCTTGAGATTATGTTTCAAACCATTAAGTCACGCATTGGGTCAAAAGTAAAAAATCAAGCCTTCTAAGTCAAAACCCTAATTTTGACCATTTTGCCCTTTTGATGATTTGAACATTTTTCTTGGGGAATTATGATCCAAACTTGATCAATTGATACATATAACTTCAAAATGTTGATATTGGTCAGAAATATTGAAGTTTGTCTGTAGGTTGACCATATTTGACTTTTTACTCAATATAGCTGATTTTGGGTCATCTGATCGATTGACTTAGGAATTTTGAGATGCAAGACTTGAAACTTGATATGAGAATTATTAGAGGTCCATAATGATCCATGAAAGTAAATTGAAGCATTAGAAGTCCAATTTTCCTTGTGAAGATCCAAACCCTAATTTGAGACATTAGTGTTAAGGAGATGGCTTGACCAAGTCAATACTTGTGTAAGCTTGAACCATTGAAGATCTTGTGAGAAGTATCTTGAGAAAAGAGAGGGAAAATTTTGGGGTACAAAAGTATCCACAAATGATACTTCAACATCATCTTTAAGAACATGACCGTGAAGAAAGTGACGTCGAATGTCTATGTGTTTGGTTCTTGAGGGCATAGGATTCTTGGTTATGTTGATAGCACTTGTGTTGTCACACTTTAACATAATGCATCCAAGATTTAAGCCGTAGTTGTTGAGTTGTTGTTTTAACTAGAGGATTTATGCACAACAACTTTCTGCTACAATATATTCTGCTTAATCAGTGCTAAGAGCAACACATGCTTGTTTCTTACAAGACCATGATACTAATGTGTTTCCTAATATGTGACATGTACCACTTGTACTTTTTTGATCAGTTTTACAACCTGCATAATCCGAGTCAGAATAACCAACTAAATAACATATACTACCTTGTAGATACCATATACTAGTGTTTGTTGTTCCTTTAAGATACTTCATTATTCGCTTCACTGAGGCAAGATGAAATTCCTCTGGTTTTGCTTGAAATCGAGCATAAAGACAAACACTAAACATAATGTTAGGAAAAATTTCCATCAAATATAACAATAAACCAATTATACCTCTATACTTTGTAATATCAATTGAAACATTGGATTCATCTTAATCTACATATGTTATGGAGCCCATTGGAGTAGCCATCACTTTACAATTGTCCATAACAAATCTTTTCAACAATTCTTTGCAATACTTGGATTGGTTGATGAAGATGCCATTCTTTAGTTGCTTAATGTGAAGTTAAAGAAAATAGTTCATCTTATCCATAATAGACATCTCAAATTCTCCTTGCACCATCAATGAGAATTCTTCACACAGATCTTTGTTTGTTGAACCA